CAAAAAGAGTTCTTTATGTTTTAAAGTTTATATTATTAGATAAATAATGATATATAATGTGATATTAAAATGTAAATTTTAAAAACAAATAATGCGGTTAACGCATGATTTTTTTGACGCATATTACAATTTCCCTTCAAAATACATCTTAACAATAAAATATTTCAACACAGATCAGTATTTTCTTTATGTATAGATTACAACTGTATTCTGTTACGTGAATAATAATATATAATTTTTATGTATATGTCAAAGTTCGGTATTCTCTTTAAAAAATATTTATACTTGCTTACTATTGGATTTATAAAAGACAAAGAAAATGAGATTCGTAAAATACAATGATATATCGTTAAATACTGTTTAAAAACATAGAATAATTTGTAAAGAACACAGTATCTCCTCTTTTGTAAAAATATTACATATTGTAAAATTAAGCCATTCTAAAAGGTATTATATTATTGATAAATACAAAGCTCATACAAATATAAATGAAATATTCACAAGCTGATTTGCATGTATTAAAAATATATGATAATTTATTTTACACAAATCACACACACGAGGGTGTGTATGTGCGCGCGCGCGTATATGTATATATTATATCTGAGTGTAATAGTAAACATCACGAATATTTCAGTTAATTACAATCAATGGACAATTTTAGGCAACTCTTGTACATCAATTCATACATTCAAAAGTTAAAAAAGTTTAAAGTTATAAACGTTATGAAACAGTGAATTAAGATTTTATTAAACGCTTTACAAGAACACCTATATTTCGCATAAAATATAGAAACCAGGCAACTAATCAAAACAATCCTACCTCTTTCTTGAGATTCATTTGCTTCCACATAGGAAGTTCTTGAAATTCTTCTTTACTGATTCCCAACAATTCCTGTGTAAAAATATTTCATTATATAAAAAAGACATAAAAATTAATTGCAAGTAGTTTAGAGACAAAAATAATTATTAGTATAAAATATCCACTAATACTGTATGTTTGTAATGAAAAATTAAAAGTAAAAACAAATGATATAGGATAGAAAAAACTAACTTGGAAATGTTGTTGGGATAAATAAAGTTCGAGCCGTGTGGGATCAACTCCTACTGGTAGTGGTCGTTGTAATAATTGAGCAGGAGGATAAGTACTTTGCGTTAATCGAGCCAGCTCACTTTCAACATTTAAAATTTCACCTGGATTTCGCCCCTCCTAATTAAAAGAAAAAAAATAATAATCATTGCGATATGATTGATCTATTATTATGCAAGATTTAGGAAGAATGTTTATTTCTATAAATCCTTAAAAAGTTCATTTTTTATCATTACCTGCATATTTAATTCTGCGATATCGTCGCGATATGTCCACGTAGGAAATAAATTTATAAATTGTAATGGCTCTAAGCCAGCCCAAACTAGATATATTGGGAACTTTGTAACATTTGGATGAATACTTTCCCAATACTGGATTGCCATAGTCATAGTAGTTTTTCTTTCAGCTTGCCATCTCACAGCTTTACTTCCAGAATGATCTTCAGCTTCTGAATCAGGCCACCATCCTTGCCATATCCATACCTCATTTTTATTGTCAAGTAAAAATAAGGCTGTTGGCATATAATATGTGTATATAATAAATATTTTCTTTTTTTTTTTTCTTTTTTTTTTTTTTTTTTTTTTTTTTCAAAATCGTAACACATTTTTAAACAGATAATATT